ACAATACTTCCTCTGTGACACAACAATACATTATCACAACTTGCTACCTCCATACCCAAGAAATATTTCAATCTTTCCAAGTCTCTGACCTTGAATTTTGAACTTAAGTAAGCCTTTACTTCGTTGATCAAATCAATATTGCTTCCTGATACTATTAGGTCATCAACATAAACCAGAACTACAACTAAACCTCTGGTAGTATCTTTGGTAAACAAGGAATAGTCTGAAATTGATTGTAAAATAAAAATCCTACTAGAGCCTCTGATAACTTTGCAAACCACTATTTGTTCGCTTGTTTCAGCCCATACAGTGACTTCCTCAATCTACATACCTTCCCCTTCAGTGAGTCATCAGATTCAAGGCTTGTAGGTATCTCCAAGATGCCATCCCTTTATAGCTGCAACTGCTAATAAGGTCTTGATAATATTCATCTTGACAACTGGAGAAAAGGTGTCCAAGAAGTCCAAACCATAGATCTGTGCAAAACCTTTGGCAACCAACCTTGCCTTATATTTTTCTATGGTTCCATCTGAATATAGTTTGATCTTAAAGATCCATTTGCATCCAATCGGAACCTTGTCTAGTGGATTATCAACAAAATCCCACGTTTCATTATCCATCAATGCTTTTAATTTTGCTTTGATTACATTGTTCCAACATGCATCCTTTACTGCTTCATGAAACGTCTTTGGTCCAATCAAGTTAGTCACAACCAATACAAAATGTTTATGTGTTCTAGTCAGATTCCACAACTGAGCTGCTTATTCATATGATATTTGACTTTAGCACAACCTAAGTAATAATGTGCTTAGGTATTTGTGGAACTCTATTGGACCTCTTTAATCCATGATCATTCACACCATCATTATTTTCATTTTCTTCAGGCATAACTACTTCTTTAACAATAGAGACTTCATACCCTTCTTCTATATCATTCATCTGCTCAAATGTAATGTCTGCAGATATAGAGTTCTCATGCATTATCATGATCAAAATTAATATTCTGAGTGTCTGGATTATGATGATTGATTGATCCTGGGATATCATCAAGACATGAGACAAATATGCCGTGATTATCTGAAGGAAGAGACTATGTGGCAGTAGAGACTCTTTAAAAGGGAAAATAGTTTTCATAAAATGTAGATCATAGACTTTGTATCCTTTAATACCATTTACCATTCCTAGAAAAACACCCTGAATGGCTCTACTTTGAAACTTTGTTCTACCTTGCTCTAGACTATATGCATATCATAGACACCCCAAAACTTTTAATAATGAGTAATTTGGTTTCTCATTGTAAAGTCTCTCAAATGGGGTCTGGTTATCTAAGACTGGAGTAGGTAGCCTATTTAAAATATGAATTGCATAGAGTATACAGTCACTCCAAAATCTCACAAGTAAATTGGACTAAAATCTTAGAGATCTAGCAATGTTTAGGATATCCTAGGTCTTTCATCTCAAGTCTCCCATTTTTTTCTTGTCTTTCAACTCAAGACATCTGATGTATGATTCCTTTCTCATTGTAAAAATCATTCATCTGAAACTCCTTACCCTAGTCACTTCTTATCACTTTGATTCTTTAGTTGAACTGATTCTCTATCATGGTATATAAGCTTTGCAATAAAACTCTTAGTTCAGATTTATGCTTCATTAAATAAACCCAAACATCTCTTGAGTAATCATCCACAATGGTAAGAAAGAAAGAGAAACCATTATAAGATGCAACGCTAAGGGGACCCCAAGTGTGAATCAAATCAAAGCACTCCGTACTACTGGAACTCAAAGAGAAAGGTGCCCTTTTGTGTCTAGAGAAATGACAAGATTCACAATGAGATACTTCACTAAATCGTATATTAGGATTACAATTCTGTAAAACTTTTGTTCTAGAATTGGAAATATGTCCTAATCTGCAATGCCACAAATCAATTTCTTCGGGTTAGAAGTTAAAAACAGAAGCCACTATAGAAATAGTTCGCTGACTGGCATGGGGCTCCTCTAGATGGTACAATCCTCTAATTTCTCTTGCAAAACCAATCTTCCTCTGGGTGAGAAGCTACTGGATAATGCAAAAGTTGGATTGAAACATCAAAGACACAGGAATATCTTTAGTGAGTTTACTAACTGAAACCAAGTTGAAAGAAAAACTTGGAATGTGTAAAACTTGATGAAGTTTAGACCAAATGTGGCAGTGACATTCCCTATATGAGAAAATGGTACTGTAGTGCCATTAGGTAATGGCACTGACACATTTGTTACTGGTTTGTAGTGAGAAAAACTTGTAGGTGAGCAACACATATGGTCAGACGCCCCAGTATCAAGAATCCAGACATTCTCTAATTCTTCATCATAATATTGAGAATAGGATGAGAGAATAATCTTACCAACATGGTTGGATCCTTTAGGCAAGTATCTGGAGACTGAGTGTGCTTGATGATGGATGGATGATGACGTTGGTGGTGATGGACTGCCTGTAGAACTTCCTGCCCCCTGCTGCAATAGTTGCATTAACCTGGAACGTTCTTCAGTAGATATGTTGAGTGTATTAATTCCACTTATAGGCTTAGAAATGCCCTCAGCACATTGTCCCTAAAATGCTCCCCCCTAACTCATAGACCAAACCAGCAAAGCTGCCATTATATCTGGATCCTTGATCATAGTTGCTTCCTTTCTTAGACCTTTCTTTCTCTCTATCCTTTTATGTTTTTGTTCTTCAGTTTATAGCAATCTTTCAGCAAATGTACAGTCCTTTTGTAGTATCGACAAACGAATTCTTCTTTGTTTCCATCTATGGTTCCACTTCCTGAATTTGGCTTTCCTTTAGCATCTCTCTGTTGGCCAAAACCAGCAAAGCAACAGAATCTACACCCTTGTTGTCTTTACTACCAGTATTCATTCTGTCTCTCAAACTTCAAAGCAAGTTTATATGCAACCTTAAGTTTAGGTGGTGGCTCTAAATGTAATAACTGGTTTTTAGCGATCTCAAAATCATCATTCAGTTCTATGATGAAATCAATAACATTATCCATCTCATGATACTGCTTCACCGTGGCATATGTCACACATGTAAAGGTAAGAGCAATCTTTCCACATATACAAGCAGGAATAGGTTTGAACGAAATGTATTAAGTACACAACAAACTTTAACGATTGTAGTAATCAGTAACAGTAGACTTCCCTTGTTTGAAAGTGGAGATTGGAGTTCTGAGATGAGCCATACAAACTGAGTCTGCCTCTCCGTACCTTTCTTGAAGGTCTTTTCATAGATCTGAGGCGGTCTTATTGTCAATGACTGTCACTGATATCTCACTAGTTAGTGAGTTCAAAATCCAAGCAATCACATTTGTGTTGCTCTGATCCTAGATCTCATATTCTTGATCTATGATTTCTGGAGTTGGGATTGACCCATCGATGAAGCCTAGCTTCCTCTTTGTCTTAAGTGTAATCTTCATTGATCTGCTCCATAGATGATAGTTTGTCCCATCTAGCTTCGGCAAAATGATTCCTTGACTGAGATTTTCATTAAGGTTCACATAGAAAGGACTATTGTTGTCTATGGCTGGTCAAGGTTGAGCAGCAGCTTCACCATCAACAATTTCTTCCTCCGCCATGGTGAAACAATGACAGAAACAAGCTTAGAAATAGAAATTTCAGGATCGGGATCGTAACCCACGCTCTGATACCATAAGAATGTTTGTGAAACAAAGTAGGGTTTGGAAATGACGGCCAAAAGGCTCTATCGTAATTTTTGTATTGCTCTGAAGAACAAAAGAAAGAGCTACTCTGTACAAAATTCTTATCCAGCTATTTAAACTTCTAACAGCTAAGCTACAGGACAAAGAAACTATTTACAAATGAAAGAGCACCACTTGTCACAAACTCAGACAAAGATACTGTTCTCTATGCTAAGCTTAGCGGCGGCGTTTTCATAAAGAACTCAACAGGGTTCACCTCTCTTCTTGGACCCGAGAATGTGCTTAGTCCTTCTCTGTTGCGGATTCGGATTCCTCACCTGCAAGTGCGTCTGATTTGCTTCTTCTACTTCTTCCTCCTTTCCATCTTCTCCTACATTTCCATCCGATTCCATGTTTTCACTTTGATAATTTGACATAATATGAGGTATTATCATTTAAGTTGCTAATCTCCACACCACTCACATTCTTATAGATATATTTTACTTTAGATTTTTTCTTGGATTTGACTTTGTATAGTTGAGGGGTTTTCTAATTTAGGTATTGGTGATACTAAAATTTATGAAATTTGTAACAAACATTATATTAAGAAATATTTAGGTAATACGGTTATATAACTGTTACAAATCACTGCATAAACTTTATGAGGGTATGTTATTTCTTATATACTAATTAAACAAAACGTAGAGATAGTCACTTTCTATAACTTACACAAACATATTACGTAAATCTTACATAATATAAGTTTGAGCGAAAATTCTTTTACTATTAACTAAAGTTTTGATCTCATTCACCAATGTACATTACACAAGGTAAGTTACTATTTACACAATAGGTTAATCAATTATTAGACCTATTATATCTTCATTTTTTATTATCAACATAAATTCCTTTATTATTACCTATAAATATTTCCTATCTAACCAATTTTCTTTACACAAAATTTTAGTTTGGATCTAAATTAGACCTATTACATTAGCTACTCAAAATAAAATGAATATCTAATTCTAATGTGATTTTTGCTTTTTTTAATTATTTAAAACAAACATAAATGTGAAAACACCAACATTAAAGGTGTGAATTAGTGTAAAGCAAATAATTAGATGATCGATAATGCTTTTCGCATGTATAATTATATAGAGCCAAATAGACTCATTTGTGTTCGACCCAAATTGGACCCAACCCAAATCCATACCCATACCCAAAAATATTAAAGTACATATGAGTTCATTTAGATCCAACTTAACTCAATACCTAAATGAATCTTAATAATTGGGTCCAAATAATTACGGTCCAGCCATTGCCATCTTAACTCTAGCTACAATATTATTCAAATCTATAACGACATCCGTACAAGCAAAACCTCTAAAGTACAATATTCTCCTAGCTAGGAATGCAAATTAGCATGTAAGTCTAACCGATCTGTTAAACAACTGTTGTTTGGCTAGGAGCTATGTCTTGAGCTCTCTATTTTACATCCTGCGTTACAATTTTCGAGCTTCAATTTGGTGCCTACCCAAAAGACTGAGGAACTGAGGCAGTGGTAAGCAAGCCGGAGAGGAGGCCAACGATGAACGCAGAATTGTAAGTCGTCGGCTCGGCTTGCCTATGGTTTGTTCTGTTATCAACGTAGGTCTCGTTCATGAACGGGCCACCGACCACAGCTCCGGTCGGAATATTCGGGTTCGGGTCAGGAGAATCATACCACTTGAATCCCTCCCTGCAATTGGTTCTCGAGTCAACCGGTATCGACGACCCCCTGTGATGGATGTAGCGAGGGTAATCCATTCCGTAACCAACAAGGTAGCTCATCTCCATCGGATTCTTGCCCAACACGTAATCCGCCTGTATAATCATAACAATGTGTGTTAGTGTTTCAATGAGAAGTACAAACTTCAAGTGCAAAGAAAGAGCTTCTTTAATTTCGTACTTGTGTGATGGCGAAGTGGCGAAGATCCTTTGAGCTGAACGTCGTGCCGTCACAGAAGAGAGTTTGGACTTGGGAAGTTGCCATGTAGTCGCTGTAAAGAACAGCGAGAAACGTAGCAGCCAACGAGTACTGCAAGGCGTTCCATTCTGAGACCCATATGAGGCCGCCTGCGGTTCTGCTGGATGTGGCCGAAGGTGAACCCGGGAGGAGAGTGCACATTGTGGCTTGTGCCATTCTTGTGTACATTTGTAGCTTAGCATTTTCATCGGGTGATATTCCATCTTTTTCTCCCAGAAAGTTCATCCTAGCAAGTAAAACCTGCATTTATATATTGCATAACCAAAATCAGCTAATTAAGTAATGATCGAGCTCACATAATAAGGCGCACCAATGAGGTGTGAAATTAGGTAAACCAAAACAAAAAAATGTGAGATTAGGACAAACCTTGCTCTGACTCTAAAACTACCTCTTAATATCTAAAGAGTTAGTTACAAAGATGGCCGGTCCGACCCTTTTTTCATTTGACTCTCTCACCCGCCCTGATCAGATTGGACCTGGTCGAATCAGTCGGTCAATTTAACAAATTTTTATTGGAAATTAATTTTTGGTACCCAAATTTATTTTTACATATGTTTTAATTAGTACATAAACTTTTATTTACAAATTTGTTTTATATAATTAATGATATAGTTTCGTGATATATAGTTTGGTTTTTTTAAAAATAATTCGGTGTTAGTTAAGATTTGATTCAAAATAGCATTGGACCAAACTCTTATTCGCGTTCTTGAAAAGATTCTTAGATGAATTTTTTTTTGAAGTTGAAGTTGTAGGTCATGAGCTTTCTAATTACCTGAGTTCCGGCATGCTTATCATCCCAACTAAACCAGCTGGGATCTCCCCAGTTACCAAAGACGTCTCCATTGATGACGGTCAAATATTTGAGGTACGATGGGTCTCTGGTAGCATAGTAAAGCCAACTGGCTGCCCAAAGAAGTTCGTCTCCGTATCCTGTGGAATTGTAGAACTTCTTCACTTGAGGAATGCTCACACTGTAAGCACCCCTGTAAAGGTCCGCAAAAGCGAAGAGCTCTTCTGCATTCGTCCGCAGCGTAAAGGAGTAGTCGGGGTCTATCTTCTTGAACACAAGAGAAGCCGAAGCCATGGCAGCAGCTACCTCCGCCGCGACGTCGGAACCTGGGAACGAGGCGTTCACTTGAGCTGCCGGCCGCCTCTCCGACATGCCCTCCGGCCTTTCCCAGCACTCGTGGTCCAGATCTGGATCGCCTACCTTTACATACCAAACCATGCATATGTATAATAATACCAGTGAGTATTTGATTTGGACATAAATTAACCATTAATGAACTCCTTCTTAAGTATAATTTCATATATGTTAAGTATTTTTGCATGAATTTATCGTTAAAAATTAATATACTAAAATCAATTTAGACTGCTGATTACTAAAACAGTGGTAACCGGCAATGCATATCATCACTAATTGAGCATTTACAACCGATGTAGTCAAAATCGCGTTTTAAAACTTAAAAACTTACGATTTTACGTTTCTAGGTCACTAAAACGCTTCTACACAAAATCTCAGTTTTTATAACTTATGTAATTAAAAACTCCTTTTTGAAACTTAATAACTTACAATTTTACGCCTCTCGATCACCAAAACGTTTCTATGTAGAAACTCGCTTTTGACTACATTGTTTACAACTATTACTTAAATACTCTTGGATTACGTAAAGGTTACGAGAAAACAGTTATTTCTTACGTAACAATTAAATCAGAAGCGTTAAGTAACGCTTCCGTAATCACTTAGGACTTCACAAACGTGAGGTTAACATTCATCACGTAAAATGAACGTCCATAACGTAAAGGTTCCAAAATGAACTTATGAACTTAACATTTGTTACGTAAGGTAAGCATACGTTACGTGACCCTTTACATAATGATCATCGTATTTTACGCAATGCAACATGTGAAACCTACTAGACATTATAAAAAATTCCATTACTAATGTTTAAAAACCTTTTTCCTTTATGCATTAATTAAACATTTGTATTGGAGATACCAATAAAATCAGACCACGTAGCACAAAAATCTTATATCATACTAAGAACTAATTTGTAGCAATAACGTATTCGAAAATTGAAAAAGCTATTCATACGGATTAATTGTACCTGAACATAGAGCTGGTTGGGCGAAGGGTGGGCGTTGATGAGGAAATCAGTGATCCACTTGAGAGAATCCTGAGCATGCCCTAGCTGCTCGACGGCTGCCATTCGCTGGCCGTACTCGAGAATCGCCCACGACAAGAGAGTCGCCGTAAAAGCCATCGGAAACCCAAACTTCACGTTGTCTCCGGCATCATACAGCCCTTTCGACAAGTCCAAGTTGCGGTCGCTCCCATCGCGCAGGGCCGAGTCTCCCCTCCACGGGATCCTGTTGTTCACCAGCTTCCCGGACCTCTGCACGTCCAAAAACTGGAACGCTATTCCCAGCGCGTCGGCGTAGTTCCTCGCGATTGGGCCGGGCCGGTTCGGGCCCGGTTTGTTGTGGGGCAGGAAGTTGGGGAAGAGCTTGACCAGAGTGTAGACGCCGCAGGAGATGACGAGGAGTGCGAGGAAGGAGGCCAATACGCACCACCCCCAGAATTCGTTCTTCTTCACCTCTACGTTTTTGGTTATTGCTTCCACTTCCTTTGGCGGCGTTTTGGGAGGCTTCAGCTTCTTGATTGCTTCCATTTCTTCTTCACTTTGTTGCTACCTGGATCGATGGATAAAATCCCAGTGTTTATGATTAACTCAGTGTTAATTACAACAATTACTTCTCCAGTTAGCTGTAATCTTTCTTTAGTTTCATATTTCTTTCCAGGGCGGGTTTAGAACGAAAGATATATTCGATTAGCTGGAGATGTAATTCACTAAGACAAGGGGAATCCAAATTTGAATTTTTAAAAATATTGAATTAGGTAGATATATATATAATTAGGACATACAAATATACATATAAATTAGGAATGTCTCTCCATCGTTTCTACCAAAACAATGAGACGTAGTTTTCAGTAAAAGATAACGTTTGGCCGGTCCAAGGACGGAACAAAGAATTCTTTTACTATTTAGAATTAATAACGACGTTTTTCTCATATTTACTCACATTAACTATATTTTCGCAACTTTTTACTAATTATTCACATAGATTATTTATCTTCACAAAAAAAAGTATATTTTTATGCAATCACATTTATTGATCATTTAATTTTTCATGGACTCTTTTAAACTGCATTAAAAAGGATGTTTTGTATGTGAATATAAATGAATTTGTCTATGCAACCGGTAAAACTGGGTGAGAAAAATGATTTTTGTGGGACAATTTTTTTTTTTTCCTTTTCATAACAAGCCTGAGATCAACTGGGAGAAAATACTAAAATTTTAGAAGAAGAAATATAGAACTTAATTTCTCATATTTACATGTAGTAGAATTCACAAACACGACCAAGCGATTCCCTTACCGTATTAGTTTTTTGCTTGTCGATCGTTTGATCATAAAAGACTGCGAGAAACGTTTCTGATGGATCGCATTCGCAGTTCCTCAGCTCATATAATCGGCGATGTTACTGGCCGGACTTTCTTTATATGCTTTTCGCCGTATGCCAGCTAACCCCCAGCCGTTAACCCGATCGACCCAAAATCTACTTCTCTTTACAGTACTGTTGTGGCCCATCGACTAATTCTTAACCATCGGCGGTTACTTCCTTTCTCTCCTAATCAAGGCGGACAATTTTCTCCCATCTACGTTGGTTCCATCAAACACATAGTATATATACACACACGCTGACACAGCCGGCGGCCGACCGCTTCGGCTAGCATTCCATTATAACCGTCCTTCCATAAAGAGCAAACGCAGTAGTCAAATCATGGGACGTCGTAGTTCGACGCACCTTTTGTCGGTTTGCAGACATGGCTCAGTTCTATATGGAATATTTTCCCCGCCGGCGTTCCAACTCCATTCCATTCGATAGGCCTCTCGTTTTTGCTGGCTGTACAGTGACAAGTTGTTTTGTTAAGATTCCAACCGTCCGGTGTCAATTTAATTAACCCGGCCAAAATTAATGCTAATGCCTCATTTGTCTGCATTAAATCTAAGCGGCTTTTATTTTTTATTTTTTTATCTGGACTATTAAAATAATATGATGAGGATTAATTCCAAATTTAGTGAAAAGCTTTTGGGTTAGAGTTGGAACTCCGGCATCAAAACGAATCCATAACATCAAACATTAAATGATTTTGCCGTGCTTTGGATCTAACTGGCCTAGCTCTCTCGCCAGTCCTGGCCTCAGAGGCGAGCTACACGCCATTCTCCTCACCTAGGTGGCAGACCAATCTCAACGAGTCATAGGTGACAACCAGTCTTGGTGGCAAGCGGGAAGCTATCAAGCGGATGAGACTGATTTGTTAACATGTTGGCAAGATGCGTTTTGTGGCAAGCGGTACGGTATCAAGATGATGAAACATGCTTGGTACCAATCTGGCAGAGTATCAACCAGATGAGATGACTTTGAGAGCAAGACGGCTTGTCAGGATACCCATAAATTAAGTTTGGAGACCAAGCCGATGGGACCAACTTGGTGAAAAGCTTACGGCCTACAAGTAGGCAAGACGGCTTGTCGATAATGAAGTAAGGTATCAACTGACAAAATTAGTTATGCATCATCGCATAAGACGGGTTTGGTGGCAAGATAACAAGGTGGCAAGAGTAACTTGGTGACAAGTTGATAACACGGCCGGGTTTTCGGCATGGTGACAACATATCAAGTTGATGTAGTTCACTAAGCCAAGGGGAATAAAAAATTGAATTTTTAGAAACAGTGAATTAGATAGCTATTAATGGGATAAATTACAAGTTTGGTCACTGAAATTACTAAAAACTTTCACGTTTGTCACTGAAATTAGTTTATTCCATTCATGGTCACTTAAATTAGTTCAATAGTTCAAATTTTGTCACTCTCCGTTACTTTCCGTCAGCCTCCGTTAACACCGTCAGTTTTTTGCTGATGTGACTAACGGAAATGCTGAGTCACCAATTTTAACCAAAACGTAAAACAAAATTCAAGTTGCCACTGATAAAACTGAAAGAACGAATGCAAGAAGACACGCGATTTACGTGGTTTCCTCGTTCAGTATGAACGAGACTACTCCACGGAGAGCAAAGCTCTCAGGCTTTTGTTCTTATTATTGTTTTCTTGCTTAAGGCGGCTGCAACAATGCGGCAGCAATATATAAACCAAAACCCTTCCTCTAGTCTCCTAGGGTTCGGATCATGAGTCTGGGAAAATAACAAAATCACCAAGTAACAAAACAAATATGGACAAACAGGTCCATAATGATCATGCACGCAAAATGCACACGTACATGCTCCGTTACACTCCCCCTCAAGCGGAGGCATGAATGTTATGAAGGCCAAGCTTGGAAGACAAATACGAGAACTGATCAGCTCCCAAGCCCTTAGTGAATATGTCTGCGACTTGATTGTGGGTGGAAATCTTAGTGGGGGAGATCTCCTTGGACACCACACGTTCACGAACAAAATGACAATCCATCTCCACATGCTTCGTGCGTTCATGAAAAACAGGGTTAGCAGCAATATGCAACGCAGCCTGATTGTCGCAGTGTAAAGGTGTAGGATCAGTCATGTCCACACCAAGTTCACGAAATAGGTAGCGGAGCCAAATGAGCTCGCTAACAGTGCTGGACATAGCCCTGTATTCGGCCTCGGCAGAAGAACGAGCGACAACAGTCTGCTTCTTGGTACGCCAAGAAATGGGACTGCTTCCCAACTGAATAAAAAATCCTGTGGTGGATCGCCGAGTCTGCTGACAGCCACCCCAATCTGCATCACAAAAAGCCGTGAGAGTCAGGGAACGAGCAGAAGGGAGAAACAAACCTTGCCCGGGAGATCCTTTTAAATACCGAAGAACTCGATGTGCAGCGTCAACATGAACTTGACGAGGGTCATGTACGGCCTGGCTAAGCACATTGACAGCGTACACGATGTCAGGCCGAGTGACAGTCAAGTACAACAGGCGACCAATGAGACACTTGTAAGAAGACGGATCGGCAGCTGGAGGGCCATCAAAAGCACTAAGACGGTGGTTTTGCTCAATGGGAAACATGGAAGGCCGAGAGGCCTACACACCGGAGTCCGCCAAGATGTCAAGGGCATATTTGCGTTGAGTAAGCACAATGCCCTTTTGAGAACGAGAGACCTCAATGCCCAAAAAGTACTTTAGAGTACCGAGATCCTTAATGCTGAACTCCTTATGAAGAAAATCTTTCACTTGCTGAATCTCATGAAGAGAAGTTCCCCCAAGGATTATGTCATCGACATAAATGAGAGCCACCAAGAAAACATCACCACGTCGAAAGGTGAAAAGGGAAGGATCAGCCTTGGACATAGTAAAACCATAACCAACCAGGGCTGCAGTGAACTTCGTGTACCAATTTCGGGAAGCTTGCTTGAGGCCGTAGAACGATTTTCTAAGGCGACACACGCGCTCATCGCCAGGCCGAGAGAAACCCTAAGGGACACGCATATAAACTTCCTCCTCCAAGTCACCGTGCAGAAATGCATTGTTGACGTCAAGTTGATGGAGAAACCACCCCATCTGAGCTGCAAGTGCTAGAACACATCGAACAGTCACTAATTTTGCTACTGGAGCAAAAGTATCGTGAAAATCCACTCCTTCGACTTGAGTGTAACCCTTTGCAACCAGGCGTGCCTTATACCGCTCAATGGTACCGTCCGGATTATACTTGATTAGATACACCCATTTCGAATCAATCAGACGCTTGCCAGGTGGTAAAAACACGAGCTCCCAAGTGCCGTTGATCTCGAGAGCAGTGACTTCGTGCTGCATGGCGTCCCACCATTGCTTGTAGCGAACTGCTTCATGAAAAAAACGGGGCTCTGTCGAGCTGGAAATGGCTGCAAGATATGCGCGGTGATCAGGAGACAGACGAGCATAATTAACTACAGCATGCAAAGGGTAGCGGACAGAGGAGATATGACCTGAATGTGATGTTGGGAGCTGAACATCATAATTGTCCACCAAAAACGGAGGTGGATTGCGAGTGCGGAGTCCACGCCGAGGTGCAGCAGGGGGTGCAACAGGCGTGCCACTTGGCTCGTCCTCGTCACTTGGTTCAGCTGCGGGAGAAGAGGGACCAGGCGAAGCGCCAATGTCGTCGAGCAGCGGTCCAAGCGCAGGAGGCGAAGGTACCAGGTCATCATCATCATCTTCAAGTGACCTGCGAGGGGAAGTTTGGGGAAGGTGAACAGTAGGTAATAGCTCACGAAAAGGGAACCGGTCCTCACAGAAGACCACGTCACGCGAAGTAAAGAGTTTTCTTGTGGTCAAATCCATAACGCGATAACCCTTTTGAGAGGCAGGATATCCTAGAAAGACACACGCTCTCCCCCTTTCACCAAACTTGTCCAAATGCTGAGATGTATCCTTTGCATAAGCTAGACACCCAAAAGTTTTGAGATGATGATACACAGGCTGTTTGCGGAAAATACGCTCATAAGGGGTAGAATTTTCAGTCGCTGTGGTGGGGAGCCGATTTATCAGATACACAGCGGTTAGTAGACACTCACCCCAAAATTTTATAGGTAAATTGGCTGAAATCGAAGAGCACGAGCTGTATCAAGTAAATGCCGGTGCTTTCGTTCCACCACACCATTTTGCTGAGGTGTGTTAATGCAAGATGTTTGCAGAATGATTCCCTCCTGTTCATAGTAGGCAGTTAAGACATTCGTTTGAAATTCAGGTCCATTATCAGCCTGAATACGTCGAACCCGTTTCCCAAACTGTCTGACCACCTGTTGACAAAACAACTGCAGATAACGACCAGCTTCTGATTTATAATGCAAGAGATAAACCCAAGTGCCACGACTGTAGTCATCGACAATTGTCAAAAAATAATGTGCTCCACTAAGACTGGGAGTATGATAACCTCCCCAAATATCGATATGAATCATCTAAAAAATAACCGTAGTCTTGATAGAACTAGTCACAAACGGTGTTCTAGTTTGCTTAGCTCGCAAACATGCTGAGCAATTGTGATTATCCAAACGAGAACCAGAAACAAAATGCAGTAAAGAGAGCTTCTCAGACGACGGGTGCCCCAGGCGGGAATGCCACAGAATTGAGGAGCTGCGTCCTGCCGCCTGTGCCGCATGAGACAATGCCATCCGAAGCTTATCAAACAGCTTGAGATGGTAAAGGCCATCAACTTGTCTCCCCATCCCAATCATCCTTCTGGAGTGTGAGTCCTGAAGAACACAGAAGTCGTTCAAATATATCAGTGCCAAGGAAAAATCCCTCGTAAGCTGACTGATGGAGAGTAGGTTGCATTTAAATTCCGGCGCAAAGAGAACACGTGGAAAAACAAAACCAGGAGCGAGCTGAACCGAGCCCACACGATGTACAGCCACTGCCGTCCCATTCGGAATCCTTACTTGGAGATGGGATTCAGGTACACTTGTTAAGAACAGCCGCTCATCATTAATGATATGAGCATTACGCCCAGAGTCTAAAATC